GGAGGAGGAGGAGGAGGAGGAGGAGGAGGAGGAGAACAGAGGGGTCCTTGGTGCTCTCTGAGGTTGGTTGTTTCCTGGCAGACGTCTCATGACACGACTAGGGAACATCATCAGTGCTAGAAGGGAGTAGGGTTGGCTTTCTGGCTAACCCTGTATGTGTTGGTGGAATGTTCCCCAGAAACCACCAAAAACAGCCCCCATCAACAGTGCCAGGGCAAGCCATAAGTATGTAAACAGAGAACAATCCCCCCTCCTCCCTTCTAACGCTGATGATGCGTTACCTGGTTCGGCTCACGAAATGTCTGCTAGAGCAGTGGTCGCCAACCAGTGGTCCGCAGAGAAAATTTTGGTGGGCTGCAAAGAAATGTCCCCCCACCCAAAAAAAAGCAATTAATCCAGGCTGCACGGGAACACAAGGCTGCGTCACTCGCCCCACGCGCCTGGCCTGGCCACCGGGCTGCTTCTTTCCGCTTCTTTCTTCTTCTTCTGCTTTTGGCTGAACGCAAGGAAAGCAGCAGAAGTCTTTCTTTCTCTCCCCCAAACTCCACCAGAAATGAGTCTTTGGGACCCTGCAAGGCCTCCTGCTCCAAGAGGCTGTGCCGGTGTGACAAGTCTCACAAAGACTAATTTCTGGTGGAGTTTGGGGGAGAGAAAGAAAGACTTCTGCTGCTTCTGCTGTTTTCCTTGCATGAAGCCAAAAGTCTCTCCCCTTCTCTCTCTCTTTCCCCTTGAGAACGGAGCTGGAGACGGTATCCTGCGATCCCAAATAAAGAACGATCGATCGGTAGGAAAACAGGGTGGGGGATTTTCCAGCAGACTTTTGGGGGGATTTTCCCAGGGTCTCTGGTCTGTAGGATTTCAAATGATGAGTTTGGGGGTCCCTGAGGTCCAAAAGGCTGGGGACTCCTGTGCTAGAAAGCCACCCAGCTCTGGGAACACCAAACCTGTTTGCATCAGCTCATAACCAAGCTTAATTTTTTTTAAAAAAAAAATCCCTTTATTTACTGGAGTGTTTAACGTCTCTGGATCAAAAACAAAAACACCCCTAATTGCCTGAGTACCCAAATGCTGCAAAGCAGAAACGTACTGAAGTATCAAAGGGAGTGCCATTCCTTGAGCATTAAAGATGCTCCAAAATTGGATAAAAATAATAAAACGCACTGTAAACTTGGATGGGCATCTAAGGCGGAAGAAGTGATATATTGCCTTCTCAAATAATAACATTGGCCAACTGATTTGGGTCTCTTAACTTGAGTAGCCCTGGCTCCTTTATCCATCTTTTTTTTTTTTTCCTGAGCTGAGAGATGCCGCCCGTAGCCTTCGAGGAAACTTCAAGGAAGATGGGTAAATTGGACGGAAACGAGAAGCCAAAGGCTGCCCTGGAAACATCAAAATCCCCCTATTTCCCCTTTCTTCTTCTTCTTCTGATTTTATTCTTTCCCCCCCCTCCCGAAACGCAAATTTTGCACTTCAAAGACATCCAACCTGGGTTGAAAAGTTCAGGCTTCTCAACCGAGCAGCACAAAAGCAGCTGGTGTCAATTCCGCCCTGGGCCAAGTTGGGAGAGCAGAAAGAGAAAGGGATGGGGGGGGGGGGCTCCGTCAAAGTGGGGAGGGGAGGGGACGGAGGAGCGCCAGGAAAGGAAAAGCAGGAGGGGAGGGGAGGGAAAGGGGGAGAACGCGTAAGTATGGAGACCGGCCTACCAACGGTGAGTTGCTGCTGCCTGCCCACCCCGGGAGGTGTGTGTGTGTGTGGAAAAGCTAGGGAGCGATTTTCGTGCTGATAACATTTCCCCAATAAGAAAATGGATGCAATTGGCGAAAGTCAGGTTTATCTAGGAGCGGAAGGAGGAGATGGTGAGTTCTAGTGCTGCCTTAGCCATAGAATAGAATAGAACAGAACAGGAACAGAACAGAATAGAAATATAGAATAGAATAGAATAGAATAGAATAGAATAGAATAGAATAGAATAGAATAGAATAAAAATACAGAATAGAATAGAATAGAATAGAATAGAATAGAATAGAAATACAGAATAGAATAGAATAAAATAGAATAGAATAAGAATAGAATAGAATAGAATAGAATAAAATAAAAATACAGAATAGAATAGAGTAGAATAGAATAGAATAGAATAGAATAGAAATACAGAATAGAATAGAATAGAATAGAATAGAAATACAGAATAGAATAGAATAAAATAGAATAAGAATAGAATAGAATAGAATAGAATAGAATAGAATAGAAATACAGAATAGAATAGTACAGTATAGAATAGAATAGAGATACAGAATAGAATAGAATAGAATAGAATAAAAATACAGAATAGAATAGAATAGAAATACAGAACAGAACAGAATAGAATAGAATAGAATAGAATAGAATAGAATTCTTTATTGTCCAAGTGTGATTGGACACACAAGGAATTTGTCTTGGTGTAAATACTCTCAGTGTACATAAAAGAAAAGGTACATTCGTTAAGAATCAAGAATCATAACGTACAACACTTAATGATAGTCATAGGGTACAATCAGCAATCAAATCATACTAGAAAACAGTCAAGTGGGAGGGGAAGGGTTAGAAGGAGTGGTGAGAAGATTAACAGTAATAGTAGTGCAGACTTTGTAAATAGTTGGACAGTGTTGAGGGAATTATTTGTTTAGCAGAGTGATGGCGTTCAGGAAAAAAACCTCCCCTTGTGTCCAGTTGTTGTGGTGTGCAGGGCTTTATAGCGCCGTTTCAAGGGAAGGAGTTGAAACAGTTTATGTCCGGGATGTGAGGGGTCTGTAGATATTTTCACAGCCCTCTTTTTGACTCCTGCAGTATATACAGGTCCTCAATTGAAGGCAGGTGGGTAGTAATTGTTCTTTCTGTAGTCCTAATTCCTCTCTGGAGTCTGTGTCTGTCCTGTTGGGTTGCAGAACCAAACCAGACACTTACAGAGGTGCAGATGACTGACTCCGTCATTCCTCTGCAGAACTGGATCAGCAGCTCCTTGGGCAGTTTGAGCTTCCCGAGTTGGCGCAGAAAGAACATTCTGACTTTGGGCCAATCACCAGGAGACATTGAGTTCTAGTCCCGCCTTAGGCATGAAAGCTGGCTGGGTGACTTTCAGCCAATCACCAAGAGACATTGAGTTCTAGTCCCGCCTTAGGCATGAAAGCTGGCTGGGTGACTTTCAGCCAATCACCAGGACACGATGAGTTCTAGTCCTGTCTTAGATATGAAACCTGGATGGGTGACTGAGCCAATCACTAGAAGACAGGGAGTTTTAGTGCCGCATTAGCCATGAAAGCCGGCTGGGTGACTTTGCGCCAATCACCAGGAGACTGGGTGTTCTAGTCCCGCCATAGGCATGAAAGCCGGCTGGGTGACTTTGCGCCAATCACCAGGACACGATGAGTTCTAGTCCTGTCTTAGATATGAA